TAGGGTAGAGTCAGAATCAACTGGACTGAAATGAGTTTTAGGTGAGTCCAATGGGCAGCCAAGGTGAAAACAGTGGAGAAATCAACTTAACTTGGTTCAAATGAGAAGCATAAGGCAGCACTTGGAGAAAGAACATTAGATCCAAACAATACAATTTTATGTTCCTCTGAGGTTCTGAATTCCTGTTAGGAGAGCAGCTGAGTCATCTAAGTTCCCTCAAGACACTAACTTTGTACCAAACACATTGTAGGAACCCAGGTGTGGTGATGCAGGTTAATGTGCTGGATTGCAAAGTAAGTTTGAACCGCAAGGTTGGCAGTTCAAGCTCACCAGCCACTCATCAGAAACCCTATACAGGGCCACTATGAGTCAGAACCGACTCTACAGCACAGCACTTAACAGAACTCTTGAAATGCAGAGTACGTAGTGTCACAAACAGGTCTGGGAGGGGAACCACTGATTTGCTGTGACCAGCTGTGAAGCAGTTACTCGGTATGGTATGGCTCTTCAAGCTATGGTCTTAGAGCTCCCAACAGATGACTGAGTGGGATTATGCAATCATGAGGCATTTGTGACTTATCAAGGGGATTTGCATAGCTTGCTAATAATGTAAATAAGTGGCATGGTAACCTGGTAGAGATTGTTAAGGGTGGTCTCATCAGTTCTGACTCATAATGACCCAGTAAGGGGCTCTGATAGCGTAGTGGTTAAGAGTTCGGCTGTGAACCGCAAGGTCAGCAGTTCGAAACTACCAGCTGCTCCACGGGAGACAGATGAGGCTTTCTGCTCCCGTAAAGATTTACCATCTTGGAAACCCTGTACAGGGTCACTATGAGTCTGAACCAACTCCATGGCACATAACATAGGGTTTTCAAGGAGCAGTTGGTGGGTTTGAACTGCCACTTGTAGTTCACAGTCCAGTGCTGCGCCTACAGTGCTACGTCAGCCCATGCAAATTAGGTGTATGGACCCATCCAAATAAGGTATGTGGAACCCTAACGTGGGGATTGGTGTTTTGTCTTCCCAGTAGGCTTAAAATGCGCCATCCTAGAGGCAAAATGGGGTGACAAGTCATGAGTGGAGCATGATTTGGACCCAAGATCCCTACATTGAACCTCTTCAATTCAGAGGAGAGCTGACGCCAGAGATGGCAAGAAATGGCAAACAGCAGGAGAAAAATGCTAGAAGCAAAATCGAGAGGCCAGCAGATGGCAGAGTAGTGGGTTCTGGTGTCCATGGAGTCAGCGAACTTGAGTACCTTCGGGCAGACTTCTTAGCAGAGTGGAGTGCATCTGGGCACTTGTTTGTCAACCCACAGAGACAATCTCATTCAGGCCCAAGCTTCTTGGAGGAGTAAGCTGCCTTTGGGCACCTAATTGGCAGAACTAAGAGTTTTGTAACACTTGCCCAAGTAGGGCAGAGGTCACACCCATGGGCACAGCTAAGAGGTTGTCTCCCAATCTGAGTTGTAACCTGTTACTACCCTGTTAGTCTCTCTGATCCTGGGCACTGTCTGTGAGCCGTGTGTAACCATACAGTAAACTACTGAACCTAGCAGCAGAGGATAGAGTGCCTCGGGAGGGACGGCTGGTGTCAAGAGTTGGTAAAAAGTGTGGAGGGTGGAGGCATGTCTGACTTCCACTTCACAGAAATCAGTTTTGGGTGGCCAATGCTGATGACCTTGATTCTCTCTCCTCCCTTGTAGAGGTCAGAGACCACCGCCATGCCATTTTCACACCAGCCCTCAGATCTGCTGTGGCCTCATTGGTCCTCTCTGTGCCTAAACAGGTGACCTTGAAGGGGCCTTTCAAGAGCCAACATTGAGGTGACGCTTAGCCTAAAGCCATATGGAGTCACAGAAACTGCTTCAAGGAATAAAGAAAAGGGACCAGACTCGGCAAGTTACTGGCTCTTATCACCTAAAGGGTCTGGAATGATCTTGACTCCTACTTCTTTCACCTTCTAAGGAGCCTGAGATAGTGGGAAATCAGTGATGTCATATTTGCTTCTTGCTCACCCTCATCAGGGTCCCAAAATCTTCCAGCTGTCCCAGTCTTTCCAGGCCTTATACCCTAGTGGCTGTGGAACTGAAAATCTGAGATTCGAAAAGCTAAAACTTAAGAACAGCAAAATAAAAGCCCCAGAGGAGACTGGAGAATGGACTTTGAGAGACTTTCAGATGGCAAGCAGAATCCCAAATGGAGAGCCAGAGGACTCTGTCAGGTCCTGGTTCTGCTCTCTGAGAATGGTAACCAAAGGCAAGGTGGTTCAAGGACCAGAGAGAAATACCCAAGGAGCAACTTCATGGGAGGAAACACTCAAGGAGCAGGCAAGCACAAGGAACAGCAGAGAAGGCCCCTGGCTTCTGGTCCCAGCATAGCCAAGGTCCCAATACACAATTAAAGGCTTTTATTGGGGAAGGGAAGTTGAGAAGTGGCCCCCAGTGTCCTCATTGCCTGGGACAGCTGGGGCCTCCTCCAAAGAGTCCAGGAAAGAAGGTGCCACGAAACTGGGCCCTCAGCAGGCTCAGGTGTAGAGGTCAAAGTCAATGCGTTTGGAGTTGTAGAACTGACCGCCAGGGGGATCCAGCTTCCGGCAATAAACACCATCTGAGAAGTAGCCTTCATTCACCCAAGTCTGCAGGGAGAGAGGGCGCAGCTGGGGGAGGACTGGTGAAGGTGAAGGGGCGGAGGGACAAGGCCAAATAAGACGGAAAGGAACTTACCTGCATCTGGGCGCTGGTAAAGGGTCCGTACAGCTCCGCATCCCCTGTGTTCTCCCACTTATATTCCCACATCACATCCACCAGACCATCCCCTGGCGCCTCTGCTCCTAAAATAACAGGCACAACTCGAAAAATACAATCAATGTCACTGAACTGTACATGTAGAAATCATCAAACTGATGTTTGTTTTGCTACGTATATTATAAACAACAACAACTGGAAACTAAAAATAAATAACAAGCAAAGCCATTTGGGCCTCAGCTGCCCTGCCCCCTGCCCACAATACTGGTCTTCTGACTTCTAAGCTTACCTCCTCCTTGGGCAGGGGTTGCATTCTCCAGCTCCCCCTCTGCCAATTCTTCAGCAAACATGTCCAAAGAAGGTGGGGGTGCGGGATCATGGGATCCCTGGGTCCGGCACCCCAGCCCCTTCAGTCGCATGGCCAACCGTTCCCGAGTCTCCTGGTACACACCTAGGTTACCCCGGGCCACCATCTGGTCGGCCAACCCTGAGAGCCGGTCTAGGCGCTGAGGGGAGCTGGGTCGCCTAGGCCCCTTGCTGTCCCCTTTGCCTCCTCCTCGGGCCCCCAGACGCCTCAATGCCCCAGCAACCGTCTCCTTCGGTAACAGCAGTTCCAAAAGGCCTTCCAAGAGAGCTTGGGCACTCATTGGTGTCTGGCCTGGGCTGTCCTCCTCTGAGTCTGAGGCCTGGTGCTGATCCGGTGGTCGCTCCCTGATCTTCACCTATAAATAGGACAGAAGAATCATTCGCTACAAACTGCCAACAAGGCCCAAGCCCCACATCTCTGTCCCTGGACCCCAGCCATGCCAATCCCTCAGCCATACCCAGTCAATGTTGTCCAGCCAGCTGTCTCGGATCTGAGCTTCCCGGTTTAAGAAGTAATTGCCATCAGCATCAAAGTGACCTTCCTCCATCTCTTCCTGCAGGTTGAAGGGCGTGATTCTCACACCCCCCTCACTGGGGAGTGTGGCCGCTTCCTGACCTGCACCAAAGACACAGATGCTACAAGCTGAGTAAGCAAAAAGAAGCAAGAGTCGCCCTTAGCCCATATCCCCAAGTGCCCCTCACTGTCACTCTGGCTCCATGAAATCATGGGTGTAACTCACCCTCCACATCCTCTGAGGCCAGAATGTCATATTTGCTGGATCCTTCCTCATCGTCATCCTCCTCATCACTGTCCAAAGAGTGTTTCCCTTTGAAGCGGCTCCCAGGACCTCCTGCCCCTACTACAGGGTCCACTAGCTATAGAAAAGATCAGCAAGTCAAGAGATGCAAGTTACTGCTACTCCCCCAAATACTCCAGCATCTAGACCCAAATTGAAAATCCTTCACATCCATTCCTTATAGAATATGGTAAGCCAGCACTCCAGCCCTTTGGCTGGCTTGCTCTTGAAGTTTCTAGCAGCTCTCTCCTCCCCTCACTTGTCTCAGAACACAGGAATCTGCCCCCCTCACCTTCTTCTTGGGTACACTGATTTCACTCTCCTCATCCTCATCTCCCACGCCCTGGAAGGTCACCTTCCTCTTTGGCATGACGGGACAGAGGAGGTTTCCCCAAGCTGTGCTGAGGAAAAGGGTTCGAAGTAAGGGAACTGGATGTACGAGAGGGGTGGGGATCAAGAGCGTCCCCCTCTTCCCCGCACAACAAACATTGCTCCAGGAATGTCCAGTTCGGGGAGGCAGTACAGTGTTAGGGGCCGAAAGAGGCTGGACGCCAGGCAACTCCCTCGGTTCGGCATTCGAGGGGTGCTGGAACCGGGCGAGGGGCGGAACCCGGAGTATCTCCCCATGAGTATTCCCGACCTTGATGACAGCAGACAGGCTCCCCCACAGGGCCACCCCATTCCCCGGCCCCCGCAGTCCTAAGCGCGGCAGAGCTCCGGGGCCTGACACCTGGCTCCTCAGGTTCCCCAGAGCCCGCGGGGCCCAGGCAGCCCGTGATCCGGCGCCCTGGCTCCTCCTGGCGCCCGCACTCCCAACGCCGCGGAAGACCACCGACTGTCCGGACTAAAGGGACGGCAGAGTCACGGAAGACTCATGAAATCCCCCCGGCGCAGCGCGCGCTCACCTGGGGCTCCAGGGGAGGCGGGGGAAAAAACGAAGAGATGCTTTTGCTAGGGCTACATCCGGGGTACCCGGGCGCCATAACCCGGAAGAGAACGGCTGAAGGCGCCAAGGAAGGCCGGAAGTGACTTAATTCCAGGTGCAGGCTTGAATAAAAGTGCCGGCGGAAGTACGTAGTAAGCGAGGGCCGACCTCCCTGAGTGACAAGATAGCGTGGGGAGAAATGACTGAAAGCGGGCATGTCCTGATCCTGATCAGATGAGCTGGGTGTCTGGAAGTGCAGTTGATTACCTCAGCAGTAGAGCTTTTGGGGAGAAAGTGGGGTGCTTTCTATTTAAAGGGGCGCCCAAAATTAGCTTGGAGGGGCAAGGTCTGAGCAGGGCCAGAGGATTTCTGTCAGTTTTCCTCTTCAGGGTTGGAGTTAACCTTTCCCCCACGACTGCCTAAGGGCACTTCATCCCTCACCTTAGAAGTCATCCCTACCTATTCCCAATCTTCAATTGTCGTTCTTCCTTGTTTCAATGATTGTCCTTCTCTTCCTTCAGGGCAGCCTGCCTGGCCCTCCTGATGACCCACCTTAGGTCCTCTGACCACTTTCTGGTCTCTCATCAAATACCCAGCTCTCCAGGGCAAGTCATTTACCCCATACCTAGCCCCAGGGTGAGTTGCTAGTTTCGAATCCACTTAGAGGGAGGTGACCAGAAGCTATTAAATCCTTCCTCAAGCAAACAAGGCCCAGCCAGGGACCTCCTTCCTAGTTGTTGGAAATTTGCTCCAAAGAGAGTAGGGTTGGAAACTCTGTGTGGGGGGGTGTGCACCTCCTAGTACTGTGTGGGAGAGGTCCCTAGCTTTTGTGGACACTCAGAAGCTGGAATCTCATTAGGTCAGACTGCCCAGGAAGTCTGTTAGAACCAAAGGAAGGGGCCCCAGAACAATCAACTCCTGCAACAGCCCCCACCCCCCAGGGAGGTGGAACATCCCTCAGTGCTTCTGTGGGTACAGATCACAGACCCCAGATAGTGAAGACACCTTGCTTGCTAAACCAAGAGGACTGAAACCAGCTGGCAGTACCACTGGTTCATCCTCGAGGGAAACCTAGGTAGAGCACCAGGCAGATAGTTCCCCTAAGCCTCATCCTTGTGGAGGACTTCCATGTGGAACCCCACCTAGGAGCTATAGAATCCTTCACCTTTAACACTGATTGGCCCCTGGAGTGGAAGGCAATGTGGACAGACCTATAGGCTGACTGCAGAAAACCGGAAGATGAGGACCTGGCTAGGGGTGCTGGCCTCCGCGGGCTGGATGTCTGGCTGCCTGGCTACCCCGTCAGCTGAGTCGGAGCTGTGCCAAGAGGCCAGCTCACCTGCAGAGGACTATAGCTTTCTGGTCATCCTCAGTCCCCTCAGGTTTCCAGGAGCTGCACAAGTGCTTTGGAAAGATCTGGGTCTGCAGGTGGGGCAAGGTGGGCTCCAGAGAACCAGTGACAAGAGGCAGCAGATCGCAGACAAAGCTGGGCCAAGAGTTCAACCAGTGTTTGTTGAGTGCCTGAGAGACAGACCAAGAGGTACCTGCCAAGCCCAGCAGACTGCTTCAGTAGAGCCCCTGCTCCGTTACCCCATCCTCCCTCAGCAAAGAACAAGCAGGAGACAGGCCCAGATATAACAGCAGGTTCTTTTCCGGTTCCTCAAAGTGCCGCACACATGGGGCGGGAGCAGGGACAGAAGAGAATGTAAACATAGGGTTCCACCCCTGGACCTCAGGGGAAGACCCCTCTGATAGGAAAGGAGACAGGTGGGGGTCCTGGTAAGACAAAGCAGGGGAGGCCTGAGAACACAGAGGGAGTTGGGTGAAGAGGGAGAGTATGGGGGCAGTGGACAGGGAAATGGGGGACACTTCCTGTTCCAGTGCTTGTCCCCTTAAATAAACTGGTATGCAAGGAGAAAAGACGGCGTATCCCGCCCCCACCCCCAGACTGGCTCTGTCCTCTGTACATAACTGAGATGTCCCAAAGGAGAGCAAGGAGAACCTGGCCCCAGCCAGGAGGTGAGAAGGTGGGGAGGACTTGAAGGAGGGGAAGGAACCCAGCTCCACCTCATGGGTAAGTGAAGCCACTGGAGTCTCAGAATCGGAAAACCGCTGTCTCCCTTCACCAAGAATCACCCCTGTGATGATAAGAGGTCAACCAAGACAGCACTGGGGAGGGGACCACATATGGAGTTGGGGCAGGAGGAAGAGAGACCCCAGCTGGGTCTAGTTGGAGATGAGGGGCTCTAGATTTCTCCTGGCTGACTCAGGGAAATGCACCTGCTCCCTGTGCAGTGCCTGACTTGGCTGTGTAGGCATCATCAGCTGGTGAGGAGATGGGGTATCAAGCCACTTTCCTCTGACAAGGACAGCCCAGCAAAGGGACTGGGGGCAGCAGCCCAGGCCAGGCCTGCTCTTGGCTAAGGGGAAAAGGGGGGCCATGCAGTCCAGCCCCAGGGCAGAGGTCAGAAGTAAGCATCCTGCCGGGCCTCAGATGCTGACGACGACGACTTATCCCCACCATCCTGGGGGGCTGGAGGACCATCTGCCTTTCGACGCAGTGAGAGCTTCCGGCCTTGAGCCTTCTTCTCCTGTTTCTGCCGCTCTTTCTCCTGCTTCTGCCGCTCTTTCTCCTGTTTCTGCCGCTCCTTCTCCTGCTTCTCCCGCTCCTTCTCCTGTTTCTGCCGCTCCTTCTCACGCTCCTTCTCACTCTCCTTCTCCTGTTTTTGCCGCTCCTTCTCCAGCCTCCGGGCTTCCTTGCTGGGCCCCAAGGGGGTGCTGTTGCCAGTAGGCGAGGGAAGGGATGGTCGCAGTCCCTCAGCAGTGACCACAGGCCCTGGTGCAGGCCCCACACTGGCCCTCCGGACAGGAGGGGGTGGGGAGGGAACCCCACCAGCAACCCGCGAGCCTCGACTCTTGAGGCCTGGGAGGCTGAGGAGGCTGGAGGAGGGGCCCAAGGGTGGCTGCTGCCGCCGCCTCTCCTCATGGATGGCCCGGGAACCATGGAGCCGCCGTGATGGCCGATACTGCAGCTCCCCCCGGGTTTCCTGCCACTTCTTGAGCTGTGCTGTGTTTTCCCGCTCGATCAATGCCTCTGTCACTGGGAGATTGGTCACCTAGGTGAGGAGATGGATAGCAGGATGAAGCAGGGGCACAGGGAGGGGCTGACGCAGGTGTGGGTATGCTGAGGTCCAGGCCTACCTCGTGCACGAGGAAGTCCTCCTGCATGCACTGCTGGGGCAGGGTGCGCAGCTGCTCCATGGTCTCATACATGCCTTGGCAGGAGCGCAACTTCTCCACGGTGCCCAGTGTGTGCCGTAGCAGCACCAGGGCCACGCGGAAGATGATCTTGACGCCTGGAGGGACGGAGAGGAGAGCACATGAGGGATTCAGGCCCTGGATCTCCGCCTGTCCTATTTAGTAGGGATTCAGCCCCTATTCTTTCTGACTGCCCAGAGAAGGGAAATGTGTTCATGTGGATTTTTGGGTCCAGGACGGGAAGGTAGCCCTGGGGCCAGTGGTAGAGCCAAGATGAGGCTTCAGTTCCTCTGGCTCCAAACCTAGACCCCACAAGCACCTTCTGTTGTTACTGTTAAGTGCTCGAGTCGGTTCCGACTCACCGTGACTCTTGTCTAGGGTTTCTGAGGAATGGCTGGTGGGTTTGAACTGCTGTTCAAACTGACCTTGCAGTCCAGTGCATTATCTGACCACCCTGCTGGCATCACCAAAGAAGCCTCAGCCCTTCCCAGCCAGCATGGTCACAGAAGTACCTTCACAGAAGAACATGTCCCAGACGCGCAGCACTGAAGCCCAGGGCAGCGTGCGGGCAAAGATGCACATGAACCACTCCGTCATATAGAGCACAGGGTCGATGCGCTGCCGCCGCAGGTGCCTATGCGCCAAAGGGGAAGCCCGGCGCAGGAGTGCAAAACAGATTTCTCCATCCAGCTGAATGGCCTCCTGGAAGGGGTACAAGTTGTGAGAATGGGTCTGGCCTGCTTTATCCCCAACAGACAGACCTAGCCTGGTAGGGGACCCTTACCCTAACAATGAGATGCCCAGAGAAGAGAGGGTCTGAAGAACGGGTGGGGCAGAATAAGGGCCTCCCTGCTGCCTGGGGGAAGTCACCATCCCTGTGCCCCAGGCTCCACTCACCAGCCCTGCACTGTAGTAACCGGGGAGGTACTTGTCGCAGATCTGTACCAGACACCAAAAGGCTTGCTGGGAAAGTCAAGAACAAGGAAGGAGGCATGGGGCCTGAGAAACAGGGAACAGGGAGCCTAGCTGCTCCCAGCCCACTCCGCCCCACAACCAGGAGCAGCCTGTGCTGACCTCAGCAGGCATGTGCATGAGCAATACTGCAGCCACTGGGGCCTGGGCCTGGCAGTAGCCCTCATCGGGCCGGTAGATAGTGTAGGCCTTCAGGATGCGATACAGGTCCTGTTGCCTGGAAGGGTGGGGAAGACGGTGAAGAAGGTGCTCACACGAACTAGGGGCTCTCTGCCCTAAACCAAATCTGCTCTCCACCAGCCCCAGCCCAGACCCTTCCTACACCTAGCTCCAGAGGAGTCTCAGAATCTCACCACCATATGCCCCCAGCCACCTCCCTAGTCCTGCCTATCAAGCTTATCAAGGTGGAGACCACAAGCAAAGCCTTTCAGGCAGGCTATAGCCCGCCAACCCTTGGCTGCACACCCAATGCTCCCTACCCTTGTCTCCCGTGTCTTTGTCCTTGCTTCGCTCTCTCCTTCCTCTGCCACTATTTCATACACCTTCAAGGTCATCTTCCCCAGGAGCTCTCAACAGCTGTAGCCTGTCCTCCTCAAACACTGTCTGGACCCCTCACCATCTCAGAGCAGGGGCCCCTCCAGGGCAGGGCCTGCCTTATCTAACTCACTGGATTTCATCAGTCCCCCATGTGCCCAGTGGACCCTGCTTCTTTGTGAAGACTTGAAAGTCAGCCGTGCCTCAGACCTTCCTACTTTCTCTGCATACAACACAACAGTTCTGTGACAGACTGGCTCCTTCTCCTTGAGGGTGCCTTATCCACTCAGCCCCTTATCCAAAAACAGAGTCACCCTCACTCCTTCCTCACTCCCCCAGAGCTAATCACCAGGATTGAGCAAGTCTACATGCCGCACTGTACTCCCGTCACGTTTGCTCCTTCTGCTCCCCCTCTGCCACCTTCCCAACTCAGCCCTTTATCACTTGCCCAGACCAATTCTCTCCCAGCCTCTAGTCGCAGACCTCCTCTGGAATACGGATTCTGAATATTGAATATGCTCGAAGACTACCTAGAACGACAATTCTCAAAGGTCCACTATGCCAGTGTGATCATTTATGCTTTGTCTGCAAACCACCCCAACTATTTTAATCTTTTTCTCCACTTTGCTCTCCTGCTGCTGCATGCCATCAAGTCGGTTCCAGCTCATAGCGACCCTGAGTCTGGTTTCTGAGGCTGTAAATCTTTATAGGAATAGAAAGCCTCATCTTTCTCTCACAGACTAACTGTTGGATTTGAACTGCTTACCTTGTGATTAGCAACCCAATGTGCAACTCACTACACTACCAGGGAGCTCCTTCCACTTTGCAATGACAGGTTTGATAAATGCTGGTTATTTTATCTAACACATAAACATGTAACTTCCCCATGCTCCCACCTGCCTGCTCCCCTGTTGTTATGGATGAACTGTCTGCTGTGATCGTGGCTAAGGACAGCCTTTCTCCTGGCACACTGGATCCCAGCCCCTCATCTACCTGAGCTTATCTCTCCAGCAGTCAAGCCCTCTTCCTGCATCACTGATGCTCACGCTCTACTAGATCATTCCCACACCATGACTTCCAGCTTTAAAACAGAAAAGGCTCTTGATCCCACCTTCCTCTTCAGATACCACACCGCTGCTTTCCGTACCTACGGAGTAAACTTCCTCAGGAACAGACTCACTGTCCTGTCTTCAACCTCTTTCCTCCCATTCCTCAGTCAGGTTTTTACCCATTATTCCATGCAAAACTTTGTCTTTTGAGGCCACCAATAACTTCCAGAGGTCAAATTTCACTTTCCTTTATTTGACCCATCAGCTGCATTGCACTTTGCTCCCAGAAATCAAGCTCCACTACTTTTCCTCCAACCTCTCAACTGCTTCTTCCAGTATCCTTTACCAATGCTTTCCCATGCTTTAAATGGTGGAGTGCTGCAAGGCTCAATCCTGGGGCATCTTCCATTTTTATCTATACTTGCTGCTTTGTGATTTAGGCCAAGCTGGTGTGGCACTACAGGATAACACACTGGACCACAATGTTGGTTTGAACCGCAAGGTCAGTGGTTCAAACTCAACAGCCACTCCTCGGAAACCTTACACAGTCACTATGAGTCGGAACCAACTTGACGGTGCTTAACAATATGGGTTGACAACTTCCAGTTTCCAATGACACATGCACATAGCATCTAATCTATTAGAAAATCCATTTGGCGCTACTGTCAAAATATATCCAGAATGCAACCACTATCCTCCAATCTTCCACCGTTACCATCCTAGTTCAATCTATCGTCATCATCTCTCTCCTGAATGATGGACGGAAGTCTCCTAACCGAGCTCTTTGCTTCTTCCCTACAGTCTATTCTCAACAGAGCAGCAAGAAGGATCCTTCTCAATAGTCAGATCCAAGTCTGCCCTCTAACCAGAAGCCCTGGCTTCCTGTCATACTCAAAGAGTAAAAACCGAGTATCTTCAACAACCCACAGGTCTCTCTATTCATGTGGTCCCCATGCCCTGTCTATGACCTCATTTCCTACTACCTCTCCCATCACACAATCCCTCCTTCAGCCACACACACTGATCTCCTATTGGGACCTTCTGTCTGCTGGAAGATCCCACCCCCATCCTGGTATCTACATTGCTCACTACCCCACCAACTTCAGGTCCTTATACAAATGTCATCTACATAAAACCTGCCCTGAGTCTCCCTATCTTCCCCACTTATATTTCCTATTCCCCTTTCTTGCTTTGAACTCCTCTTTAATACTTACCACCATTTCACATACAATGTACTTTCCTTCTTTATGTTACTTATTAGTTATCCCCACTCCCCACTAAAGCTTAATAAGCTCCAAGAGAGCAGAAATGTTTGTCTTTTTGTTCACTGGCATCAGTGACAGGAACAGTACTGGCACACAGCAGGTACTCAGAGTTGAAAGACAGACTTACTCAAAGTGTCCACTAAGGAAACACGTTAAGATCACCTCACTTACCACTCAAAGTGATGTAAAACCACATTATTATTATGCCACATCTTGAAGACACCTGGCCTATAGAACAGTACTGAAATGCCCTGGCAGAACATTTAAGGGGACCTAACTCCAAACTTCTTCTTCAACCTCAGCTCTACCACATCCCACTGCCTGCCCCTAGTTCCCATCTAGCCTTCCAAATTCTTGATGGGTCTAGAGACACACGCACGGGTACACACAGTTAGTTTCCTCTCTGGGCATGGTCCCTCACAGCTCCCAGGACATGTCCTTCAAAATGACTTGACACAATCCATTAAGTATTCCTCTTCTAGAAGCCCTGGAGGTCAAGAACTGCTTTCAACTCAGTCCCGTGGAGTCTTCGTCAAGTGCTGGCTGACTGGCCCACGTGCTAAGGCCGCCTTACCCATGTCCTCCGCGTGCAGCAAACATCTCATGGAAAGGGAACTGGCGGTGTAGGTCCTTTTCAATTACATCCAGCCACTTGGGGTCCCCAGGAGCCCGTTCCAGTTCCTACAGTGGAAGAGCAGGGACGACATCAGGGTCTGAGGGAGTAGGGCCATATACTTTATGTTCCTCTCCCTGGAGCTACACCGACCTCAAACTTGCCAGGGTTCTGCTCCAGGAGTTCCTTGCTATTGGACAGGTACTGCCAGGCCTTGGCTCTGAGGGAGGAGGGGACCCCCTTCCGGCAGCGAAGCTTCACCTAAGGCAGAAGGACAGACTCAGGGGCTGACACAACCTCTAAGCTTAACTTCAGGCTTTCTGGGCTAGTCCTCCCACATTTCATAGGGTTGATGACGTCAATGAACCTGGCCTAGCCATCTACTCTTACAGCTACCCCCCCACTCCCCACCCAGGTACTACCTGCCCCCACATGGTTCAGAGAATGGGCTCCCATGGAGCATGTGGGCCCTGGTACCCACTCCCACTCCCCCTTGTCCATTCCGACAACCACATAGCCTTTTCAAACCTTCTGGAAACGCCGTGACAGCCATTTATCCCAGTTACTGAACATCTCCAGCCACTTGAGCTCCCGCTGCCGAGCCACATCCACAGGAATGGAGCTTTCTCTGCATAATTGGGGTGTGGGGCATGGAAGAGATCATTGTTAGTACAGAACCTTGATTAATGGGTGAACTGTGGCAAGCCATCTCCCAGGCTCGTGGTGGTGGTGGAGTCGGTTCCATGGAGTTGGCTCCGACTCATAGCAACCCCGTATGTTTCTGACACTGTAAATTTTACAAGAGCAGAAAGCCTCATCTTTCTCCCGTGGAACCACTGGTAGTCTTGAACTGCTGACCATGAGATTAGCAGTTCAACTCGTAACCACTATGCTACCAGAGCTCCTTTGCATGCTCATATGTGAGTCTGAACCTAAAATAAGCAACCAAACATCAAAACAGCTGGTCATTTAGCCATTCCAAAGCCTTAGTTCACATAGCTGAAAGGGATTTCTTCCCTGTTAGATAACTATATGGAGATTTGTGTTCAAATCCAACTTCTGACACATCCATGTTTGGGGAGACAATACAGAATATTTTAAAGCTAGACTCTGCATCAGACTTGACTCTAAGTCCGAGCTTGACCACTTATTCAGTACGATCTTGGGCAAACCACTTAATTTCTCAGAGTCTGTTTCCTCATCTATAAGATGGAAAGGATAGCCAATACCTGTCGGAAGGAGTTTGTTGAGAGGCTATAGGTGATATCACATAATGTAGACTAAGTAACAGCAACTATTACCCACAAAGGAAAATACAGAACCACACTTTTCTAGCTCCTTAGAAGTAACTATCCATTTCCTCTCATCACACTTTTGAGAACCCTTGGGCTACCTGCTGTTTCCACCACCATCTTCTCCCTAAAATCACCCCAGATCCCCACACATGAAGCTCTTCTAGCCCAGTTTATCCACTGTTCTCTCAGCGCTTCACACTCCATGTGCCCCAACAGTCTTGAAATAGTTCCTTTTAGGAACCATTACCAGGTGGTGAGTAGAATGGAAGAATAAGCTTGGGTTTTATAAATCAGACCTAGGTTCAAATCCCAGTTCTGTTGCTTAGAAGGAATCTTGTCAAGTGCTAACCTGAGTTTCTTCTGCATCTATGAAATACAGACACCACCACCTACATCACAATGTTATGAGAGGAGGACTGAGAAACACCACCTGAAAAGCTGTTCAATGGAAGGGCTCCATGAAATGCTAGTCTCTCCTGTCCTGCAGCAGTGTATGTGTGCTAGTGAGTTGGTTCCAGCTTGTAGTGACTCTGTATAGGGTTTCTGAGGCTATAAATCTTTATGGGAACAGAAAACCTCATCTTTCTCCCAAGGGCAACTGGCTGGTGGATTCGAACTGCTGACTTTGCAGTTAGCAGCCCAACACAAAACCCATTATACCATCAGACCATCTGTCATAAATCTGCTCCAAACTCTACTAAGGGCAGGGAAGAGTAAAACAGTTTTGCAGTTTTCTAGAAAGCTACAGTGTCCATGGAATGGTCAACCATTCAACATCTAAAGGGCAGCATTCATCTAAGGACACAGTTCCTAAGGGAAGAAGGGAGAAAGGGGAGCAAGAATCATAGCGAGGAAGTAGGATGAGTGATGTTACATGGAAGAGATGGACTACAGTCACTGAGATGAAATGAAGTATATGATCTGCTGAACGTAAAGTGGATGATCTGCTCTGTAAGCCTTCAGTCAATTCACAAGAAGTCACGACCTAGTAGGGGCAAAAACTGCACTATAGGGTGGGAAATGCAAGGACAAAGGTGCACAGAAGAGTCATCAAACTGGCATGGAAGTTGTGGATATTAGGGATGGAAGGAGGTGAGGTATGCTATGTAGGGTGAATAGAAAGACGTTATTAGCAGGAAAGGGGAGACGGGCATTTCCTGACAGACAGTACTGTCTGAGCAGGAAGGAGGAGAAACTACAGTTCCATAGGACCACAGCACAAAGACAAGATGAGGAGTGGTGGGCAAGAGGCCAGTAAGGCTAGTGGAGCAAGCTAAGAAGGAGCCTTGTGTACTGGCTAAAGAGCTTGGATTTAATGGCTGGACTCCTGGTGTGGTACTGTGGGATAAGCACCAGACTGTGAAGCACAAGGTCAGTGGTTCAAACCCACCAGCTGCTCCTCAGAAACTCTATGAGTCAGAAGTGACTCGACAGCACTTAACAATAACAAAAGTTTTTAAGGTAAGAGTGTGCCACAGTCCGCCTTGACTCAGAGGCAGAGTTCTCCGGCACAGAGGATAGATTTTAGAGAAATAAAAGTACAAAGCTAACAACTAACACCCAGCACAGTGTCTGGCACATAAGAGAGACTGGCTAAAACTGAACACAATCAAAGTTCCTTACAGCAGTGTGGAATTAGGGAGAGCCATCACAGTCAGACAGATCTACGCTCAAACCCAGACTATTGGAAGGGGGCAATGCATTCAACTACTCCAAGCCAGTCTCTTCATCTATAAATTACATACAATACATCCCTTGTATATGGCAAGCATCAAAGCCAGATTTCAGTGGCTTTTCCCCATACAGGACAGTGAACGTTGCCACTCAAATGTTTTCTGAATTTTTTGTTGGATTCTAAACCTGATCTTGAATACCCTTCCACACCCCTCCCCCAACATACACAACCATGACCAACTCCTACTCATTCTTCTTTAGGACTCAGATCAGCTTTAGCTGAAGGCCCTGGGTGGGGAAACGATCCCTTCACTAAGTGCTCACAAAACCCTGTGATGATCTCCAGTCTAAACCAACTGCTTAACTATTTGTCTTTCCCTGTAGACAACCAGCTCTGTAATAGAAACTCTTATCTCCCTACTGCCCTCCACAGGGCCTGGCACTTGGGTGCCCAGAACCTGCTGCAGGATGAACTGACTTGCAAGTTAAAGGGCACAGGAACAATGGGCAGAATCCAAAGAGAGGAAAGAAAGAAACCAGATGCCATCATACCCCCACCTCAGGAGTGACTCAGGCCCCCAGAGGGAACTAGTAAGGCCTTCTGGGGAGATGAGGAAATGGGGAAGAGGCCTCCCCCACCCTCTTTCCTTCAGTGAAGACATAAGACTGCCCTTCTCTGCAGAAGGATGCTGCCTTTAGAGTCTTCCCTCCATCAGTCAGACTTCCCACCTCATCAGCCCATTAGACATAGGGCCATGAGGGCTACGCAACAGCCCTTCCGGATGACTCTCTGCCCCTAAAGAGCCAAAGTCTCTACCAGAAGTCCAATCTAGCTATCCCTACTGATTATCTGGCCTGAAGCTGGAGTTTAGCATCAAGGAGCTGGGATGACCTTAGGCATCACCTCATCCAACTCTTCACTTTAGAAACACTCAACTGAGCCATAGAAATATGGAAGCCACTACCTCAAGGGCACACATTTCAAAGACAATGCCTAGAACAAAAACCCAGGTCTCCTGATTCCTACTCTGAAATTATCCCTAAGATGCCAGTACCACAAAAACCTCAAGATGCTCTGGGCAGGAGAGGGTTCACCACGTACTCCATATCTACGAATCACTCCCTGGATCCAAAAAGGAAATTGGGACTGACAATCTAGGCAAGGTTGTCCTACCCACTTTCCCACCCTTCCTTCCCACCCACTTTCCCACCCTTGTAATTCTGAGGCAGTCCCATCTGGGTGCCCACTGGGTACTCACAGGCTGCCTGAGTACTGGCTACCCCCAAGGAAGCCATACTTGTCGGTCTTGCGCAGGGCCAGCCCATTGATCTCGGAGTCTGAACCCATGGAGCTCACATCATCTGCCAAGGACTCCAATGTCCCAGACATGAGGCTCACAGAATCCAGGTAGCTCAGAGTGTCTGGAGCTTGACCTCGAGGCCCAGGAATGCCAGGACCCAGGCTGGATGTGGAGCCCAGGTCCTGAGAGCTTTCAGCTGGGGTCACCGTCACGACGGCTACCAGAGTGTCACTTGTCCCTGGAGGGCCGGTACCAGACCCTGAAGAATCCTCAGGAGCGGATTCTGCTGCTGCTGCTGCAACTCCATATCCACTTGTCATCTGTCCTGCTGTCACTACTGCAACCCGTGCAGTCACCCCCGAGGCCACTGTGGTTCCCGGCTTAGGGGCAAGCGGGGGCTTGGCGGTCAAGGCCCCAGGAGCTGTTCTGGAGGGGGTCCTGGTGGGTGTACCTGGTCCAGGGGCAGGCGAGGTTCCAGTCTCCTTCTTTGGAGATTCTGTCCCTGGGGCCACAGCAATCACCTTCTCGGTTCCTGCTACTGCTGCGGGCCCCGGGGGCTCTGGGCCAGAGGGGACCTGTGTCGTCTTCGAGGCGGGCGAGGCCTCCAGAGTCAGCACCACCACGGTGCTGCCGGAGGCCCCTGGGGTCGCAGTAGGGGCCGGAGCTGGAGCCGTGGTTTGGCTGGGTCCTGGGACCCAGGTGGGCCGCGCCTCTCCGGGGGCCACTAGAGTCACTGGAGCCGAGGTAGCCGTGGTCACTGGAGGCCCCGGAGCCACCACCACCATGGGCCCGGCCCGGGAGCCCCGGGGCGGGGGCGAGGGGGCCGCGGGAGAGCCATGACAGCGCGGCGGGGCCACCAGGGGCGCTGGGCCCGTCTCCATAGCCGAGGGCCGCCCCTCACATCCCCCCGCCGGGGCGGCCGCAAAAGGCGCCGCCCCTCCGGCCGCCCCGCGCCACCCGCCGAGGAAGGGGAGAGGGCGAAGGGCGCGGCCCGGCACGCGCCGGGGGCAGGAGAGGCTCGGGCCTCCGTTGGGCACGCGCAGATGGGGCGGGGGCCCAGGGGCGCCTTACGCCGGGGTCTCGCCCGTGTGCTCTCCAACCCTCGCGCTCTCTCGCCGCCGCCGCCGCCGCCCCCCTCCCTCTTGCTTCGAGAGAGCTGCCGACTTAGCGCCTGCGCACACGTCCCGGTGCCGGGATCAGCGGCCAGCGTTCCGACGTTTCACGCCTGCGCGCCGTCGACCCCGGCGCTCCTTTTTTTTTCTCCCGCCTTTTCAGAGGATTTAGACGAATAACAGGAGAGAAGGAACTGGGTTTCTGCCAATCGCTGGAAGGGTGGGTGGGGTAGACGGTGGGAAGGGGATGGGTAATTTGGAAAGAGGAAACGGAGAGGGCGGAGGACAACAAAGCCAATCAGAGGGCAAGTGAAGGCAGAAGAAGGCGGAACTAAGGAAGAATCTAATAGAAAAGCGGGAACCTGGCCCTCTTGGCCAATAAAAAAGACTGAAGAGTGAATGACTGCGGAAGGGCGGGATGGAAGGAGGTGGTACTGTGCGGAAAAGAAGGCGGAGCATAGGAGCCCTTTGGGCGGTGACAGACAACAGCTGCAGTCAATAGGAAGAATTGAGGAATTTTTTAAGGCTCCCAAAATGGTCAGGAAGGAATGACAGCTCGGGGGACGGGTCAGGATTGCGATTAAATTGCTTCGTGAGCCAATAATTTCGTTCTCCCACTTCAGCAACAAAGGAGGGAACAGTCTCAACCAATGGCAACACCGAAATGGCAAGGGTGCTGCCGGCAGGCGGTGCCAGCCCACGGATTGTCAGTGACACCCAGAGACAAGCGCGGGAGGGGGGGGGGGGTGACAGTTGGGGACAGCGCGAAGAGGGTACCAGGCCAGGGGGATTAGCGCAGCCTTTAACCAATAAGAACATCACGCTGTCCTTCCTGAGTTTTTCTGGACCTACTTTCCCCATGTTGCTGCTGAACGCCCTCCCCACCCTTTTTCCCACAACTCAGGTGATCTCTAGAACCCTAAACCCCAGCAAAGAACCAGTGCTCTGAAGCCTGATTCAGTACTCTCAGCCTTTGGACTGTCTCCAATTCTCTAATCCTCACCCCCACCCAACTACAGCACTTCAGACTCATGAGATTGTAGCTAGAGCCCCAAATTCTGTAAGGACTCATTTCTCTGGATGCTTCGTTTCTTGCAGGAATTCCAAATTCCTCTCTGTAGCCCTCATCTATTAGACCTCATCCCTGTAAATCCTCCTCCATTCTCATAGGGATTTCATACCCCAAATTCAGGAATCCCCAACACCATGAGCTTCCCATATCTATTCGTATATATTTTCAGGATCCAGGACTCCAATCCCAACCCCTCCCTTCAGTGCCACATCTCTCTGTACTCACTTCCTGCTCAGAACCAGACACCCCACATCTCTCTGTACTCATTTCCTGCTAAAAACCAAGACACCAATCTCATGCTGCCCTAGACCACAAACAAAATCCTCACATCATAGGCCCCAACCTTCCAGCTCTTAAACAACCCCTCCTTTCTCTGGTCCCCCCTGGGGCCCAGGGTTGGAGAACCTCAATTTCCACACACAGTCCATCATTCTGAAATAGCAGTCTGCCTCTGAGATCTAACTCACAACTGGTCTCTGAATTCTGTGAGGTCTTCCTTGTTGTTATGTGCCATCGAGTCAGTTCCGACTCAGCAACACTGTAAAGGGTTTCCAAGGAGCGATTGGTGAGTTTGAACTGCAGACAGACCTTGTGATTCAAACCAACCCTGCAGTCCAGAACTCCAGGGTCCTCCTTCTCAGACCCAAATCCTGTGAATTTCCACTCAGTCTCTGAGGTATACCACTTCTGGTTCCATCTCCTCAACCCCTTCTCCCCCATTTTCTAACATGCCCCAGGCTTCCTGAACTCCTCTCCTAGTGCCTTCTTTGGGGTCTCCCTCCTCTCCCAGAACTCAGTAATAAATGGACTCCTCCCTGGGCCTGGACCCCCATGGTAACCGTATAAGGCAAGGCAGCTGCAGACTGAGGCAGGGAGGGGCCAGTCTAGGAGGCCAAGGGCAGCTGCTAAGTTTAGGTGCTTTCTTCTCTCTTCTTAGAGACAACAGGTGGCCAGTCCCCAGTGCCCAGAAAAGAAAATGTCTTAGAGGCATTGGTATGAAACTAGAGGAGGGAGAGGAGAAAAGGCATCTTCCTTAGGACACTAGGTCCTAGAGGGAAAAGGAGATGGATATCCTTGTCAATTTTGTGTCTCCCAAACTTCTTCAGGCACCATCTCCCCTACTATATGGAGGGAACTGGAGCAAGGGGGCCCAGAGAATTTGACCGGGGTGATTCCTACCCAAAGAGAAGAGCCACTGGCCATTCTAGCCACCCAGAAGTTGGCAACCAACTAGCTTCCCCCTTGGTATCTTTACCTCTTCTCCTCTGAATTCTAGCCTCCATACTCCATCTGTTTCCTGCTTGAAACCTTTCCAAGACTCTCCAAGATCCCAGCCCTCAGCCTACCATTTAAAGCCCTCCAGTATCTGCTCTTCATCCCCTTACATACTCTGTTCTAGCCCCATCACAAGATGGCAACCTGAACATTTCTGATCATGCTCTTCTCTGGGCTTTACCCATGCTGTGACCTCAACCTAGTGTGCCTGCCCATCTATTTTCGCCTGACTCACTTCCATTATGAAGTCATTCTTATTCCTCAAACATGGCTGCTGTGCTCTCTACTTCTGAGCTTTTAACCAATGGGTGTATCATTTCCCACATTTATTACTGTCTTCATGGCTAGACTGTAAGTTTCACCAGGGCAGGGGCAAATTATTAATTATAATAATAATAGTTCACTAAACTAAAGGAGCTCTGATAGATAGCATAGTGGTTAAGAATCAGGCTGCTAATCTCACGGTCAGCAGTTCAAAATTACCAGCTGTCTGCAGTAGAAAGATGAGGCTTTCTGTTCCCATAAAGATTTACAGCCTCGGAAACCCTGTACAGGGTCACTACGAGTCAGAACAGACTCCAAGGCATATAACAACAGCAACAAACTGCTTCCGGAGTCCGGGTATGACACTGTAGGATAAACTACTGGACCGCAGAGTCAGTTTGAACCACAAGGTCAGCGGGTCAAACTCATGAGTCACTCCTCAGAAACTCTATACAAGGTCACTATGGGTCGGAACCAACTCACACAACCCCCACCACCAAACTGTTTCCAAAATGTTTTCATATCTACAATGGTTCTGTGGGATGGGAATTACAACTCCATTTTATAGAGGCCCAGGGAGTTGAAACACAACACCCGAGATCACAGAGCCAGCCCTCTCCCCTAACCTATCTAGTCTCTTCATATCCAGTGATTCCATACCCTTCATCTTTCCTCACAAAACCCCTCCTTCCTAGAAGGAGATGTAGGAGACTTTCCTGATCCCCCAGTTTCCACAATTCTCTCTCTCCCACTTCTAAGCTCTCTCATCACCATTACAACCCCCATATATAGACACAGTCACCTATGACCTCTGGAATCGGTTGGGGTGCTTGCTGAAGTACACCCACAAAGTTCAGCCCAGCATCTAGCACACTCTAGGTGCTCAATTAATGTTTATTGGCTTCAAATCTGGGCCTACCCTATTCAGGGGTGCAGAGGGGGCCTGGTTCATCTCTCTCCTGAAGCTGTGTCAAAGCCTTGGCCCCTCAAACTATAGCACTCCAGCCCCATTTGAGAGAAAGAACATCCCTCTTGCCCAGGTCCTAGGGAGACAGACCTCCCTCCTCCCCTCTCTCCCTCCCTCCCTGGGCTCCAGCTGCTGCTGGCCCTCCAAGAAAGGAAAGGCCCTGATCCCAGCTATTTTAGTATTTGGGATGGGCACCCAAAAGGCTAAGGTTACCTCGGTATGTTAAGGGCTCCCTGGGGCAGGACTATATAACCCCAGAGGGACTGCCCCAGGCTGACTCTCTGCTCCTTTCCAGCCAGAGCCACCACCTTGCCCCCAGGAGACCAAAAAAATGGTAAGTTAGAATTCTCCAACCCTTGCTCAAGATCCTTCAGTTTTCAGAGCTGTCCTTTGGGAGATAAGAGCTGGTTTCCAGTCCAGCAAGAAGAAAACAGATTAATTTTCCCTTTCTTGGTATTACTAATGAAGCAGAAAGGCAGAGTGATGGTCTAAAGGACCCAAACCAAGGAAAATCTGTCCAGATACCCTATTCAGAGCCTGCTCTCTCCCTTCCTGCACTCCATCTTTCTAAAGCCCTCTGGGATCAGCCATGCAAGGATTCCCATTTCATAAACAAGCAAGTAGAAGATGAGGCAGGATGAATGAGTGGACTGGGGTCAAGAAGCAAGTCCGGAGCTCAGAGGAAGCAGGCTCAGAGCACTGAGAAAAGAAGGAAACTTCCATTGGTTGGGTAGAATGAAGGGCTGGGGATCCAGAGGTCACAAATGAGTTTGGGGAATGTAACTGAAGCAAACTCCCTTAGCAGAGAGGTCCCTAGGAGAAGGAGGCCTAGAGTTAGAAGAGTTGCTAGAGAAGGAAGGGCCTGAATCGAATCCATTGTCCCCAGAGAGGAGTCGGGATTGGCCCATGGACATGGACCCCTTTGCTCCAACCTTATCCCCCAGGCACCCAAGAGAGCCAAGAGAAGGGCAGCAGAGGGCGGAGGTTCCAATGTCTTCTCCATGTTTGACCAGACTCAGATCCAGGAGTTCAAAGAGGTGAAGGAGTAAGGGGAAGACTGAACACTGGCCAAATGCTGCCCCCTCCCCCACTCTCTCCTGGAATGTGCACCTGCTTGGGGGAGGGGGGAGGGGAAGGGTTTAGAATTCCTTTCTCCTCTCTTTGCTTGGAGTGGAAGATGACAGCTGGCTGGAGGTCAGAGTCTGATCTGCCTGGAATGGGGGAGCTGATGCTTGGCCATGAGGAACCTAGCCCCCCATTCCACACCCCCTTCCACAGGCCTTCACTGTAATTGATCAGAATCGAGATGGCATCATTGACAAGGAGGATCTGCGGGACACCTTTGCAGCCATGGGTGAGCCCCCTACCCCACTGTAAACATTCAGGCAGTCAGTTTATTTAGCTGAAAAATTAGTGGGTGATCTGAAATTATAAGACGCATGGCCCTGGCCCTAGAACCTAGCTCTAGCCCATGTTGCCCTCTCCAGGTCGCCTCAACGTGAAGAATGAGGAGCTGGATGCCATGATGAAAGAAGCTAGTGGTCCCATCAACTTCACCGTCTTCCTGACCATGTTTGGGGAGAAGCTCAAGGGTAAGAGAAGGGTCCCACGTCCAAGCCCCTCCCTCCCTCACGCACACTTTTCCTGGACCTTTCAAGGACCCTTCAGCTACATGTGTCCTTTGACTTCACAGGTGCCGACCCTGAGGATGTCATTACTGGAGCCTTCAAGGTCCTGGACCCTGAGGGAAAGGGTTCCATCAAGAAACAGTTGTAAGTTTCCCCTCCAGCTGCTCCCCCAGCCCCCCACCATCTCAGAGGAAGTCTCCAAGAGTTAGGCACTGTGGATGATAAGGCAGAAATTAGGCCTGTACTGGGTGGGAGGAAGGGTAAAAGCCTGGAGGCCTGAGCCTTCCGGAAATCATTGAGGGATCTAGAGCAGACACGTTTCCAGAGACACTGGGATGGCAGAGACTGGGGGTGGCAAGGAAGATGAGGTGGAAAGGAATGAAAGGGAACCACAAACACCAGGCTTAATTTCCTGTACATCGCCTCTCTCCAGCCTGGAGGAACTGCTGACCACACAGTGTGACCGCTTCTCCCAGGAGGAGGTGAGTAGGGGAGGAGCCTGAAAAGAGTGAAGGGACAGGAGGGAGGGACTAAGATACTGGTAGAAGCTGTCCCTGTGTCTCCTCTAGATCAAGAACATGTGGGCGGCCTTCCCCCCTGACGTGGGTGGCAACGTAGACTACAAGAACATCTGCTATGTCATCACACATGGCGACGCCAAGGACCAGGAATAGGGGGATCCTCTTATTCTGGTCAAACCATCCGGCCAGTTCGACACCGCCACCCTGATGCCCAATAAAATTGTTTCTTATCGGCAGCGACTTCAGTTTGTTTGTGTGAGGGCACCTGGTATGGATCCCGGAAGAGTATTGAAACAGTGGAGCACCAAGCGGGTGTCCGGGAGGCTGGGTGGGGTGGCTAGACCGGCTGCAGGGACAGAAAAGACTCGAGCGGCCTCAGGGCAATTCAACTTTTATTGGAGATAAGGCTTGTGGGAAGACAGGCAACGCCGAAGATGGAGCTGGAGGGTAATGACAAGTCTGGAGACGCCAGTTCTTGAAGTGGGCCGAAGACCAACAGTAGGACGAGATACGGTAGAGCCGGGGCGGAGCCAGAGCCGGGGCGGAGCCAGAGCCGGGGCGGAGCCAGAGCCGGGGCGGAGCCAGAGCCGGGGCGGAGCCAGAGCCGGGGCGGAGCCAGAGTCGGGACTCCCAACTCCGGGTTTGTAAAGAATGGGTTAGAAGGAGAACCTGCATAGATAGTGCTAGGACGGGCCTAATAGCTGGGGCTCTGAGATTAGGATTTAGGCTGGCTGGGGTTTGGGGATTGGGCAAGAGACGGACTGAAGGCGGAGCCGAGGTAAGGGGAGCCGGGGCGGGGGTGGGGTGGAGTGGGGTGGGGGCCTTAGAGGGTGTCAGACTGCTCGCCTGGGGTCTGGCTCTGCTGCATCTGAGCCTGCATCTTCTCCAGCATCTCTTGCATGCGGCGCAGCTGTGCGGGAAAAGATTGCAGGCGATGGGACCCGGCGAGGCCAGAGAGGGACCTCGCAGAGGACCTGGGGTCTTGGTCGTGGGGGAAGCGAGGTGCTTGCTCACCTCTTCGTCTTTCTCGCGGATCAACTTCTCCGTCTCGGCCAAAGGAAGCATTGGCAGCGGTATCTCTGTGGCGCTCTGGCGGGAAAGCTTACTGGGTAGTGGAAAAGGGGCAGGAATCAGAAAGGGTCGGGGAGAGATGTTTGGTGGTAAGGGCTTGGAGGCGGGGTCATGGGTGGTGGGGCGGGGCCTGGTGTCCAGGGCAGTGTTAAGGGCGGGGCTTTGGCCGTATAGAAAGCTGCTCTGGCTCCCACCTGCGGCTGACGCGCGTCCCCGGCCGGGCAAGGCTCTGTAGGCAGCGGGCTCGGTAACCCTCGTAGAGCAGATCGTGCGTCACCTCCTTCAGGTCCTGCAGGTGTGTCTGCACCAGCATTCGTCGCAGGTTCAGGAAATCGCAGTGATGTGGATTCTCCACTGGAGGTTAGTGGGACGCATTAGCCAGCTTCAGAGTGCTTGGGTCCAACCTCACTGGCAGGGTGGGCTGGCCAACGGTCTTGCTGCTGCCCTCAGGGAGGGTAGGTGGTCTGCACCCCAAGAAATCCTCACTTTTGGCTCCTGGATCCCCTGGGGCCAGAGCCCGTCCCCAGCTTACATGTTGGGAGTGGATTGGCTAGGAAATTACAGGGTTCCCTGCAGGCCTCAGACCGCGGTCCTAGCCTTACTTACCCTCCACTGTACCCCAGGAGTAACGGCGTCCTCTCACAGGCCTGGTCTCACCATCCCTCACTACCTCGCAAGAACCGACGACTGCAAAAGGGATGCTTCCCTAGAGTGCAGGGATCAGGGGTCGACCTTCCGCACCCCTTTCCCCCTCCCCCCACTTCGTATAGAAACCTCCTTCTCAGCCACCACTTCGCTTCTGCCTCCTCTGCTTCTCTGCCCCTTTCCTCTCTCACCTTCATCTCTGCATCTTGCCTCTTGAAGTCTTCATCCTCATCAGAGTCACAGTCTGGGAACTGGTAGATGTTGATCTCCTCCTCTTTCAACTGGTCCCGGATCTGGGAAGAGACAGTGATGTTGAGACGGTGAGAAAAACCAGTGAGATACAGACTTACTGGGTGGTCAGAGACAGAGATGGAGACAGAGATGGTGACAGTTGGACATAAAGGATAAGCGCCACCCCCACCCCCACCCCCGCCGCCTCCCCCAAATCTCAGAGACAGCTGAGAAGCTGAGACAATGGCTAACAGAGAAAACTGAAAGCCTGAGAAAATTCTAAATTGGGACAGACACCCAGAGACCAGGAGAGACAGAAACAGTGGGGCTGGGCTGGGGCCAAAGGATGTCAAAGGTGATGAGTCCATGCCCTTGCCCTCTAACAGACCTAAGCTGCACATCATCCTTCTCCGCCTCCAGAAATAAAGCTCCCTCTATCAGCTTACTGCAAACCTCCCTCAGAAAGTTTTTCTCACAGCCTAATCTGACATCATGTTCTAAAAAGGCCGCTCCAAGATCAAAGAAGAACTGAAGTCAGGTTTGAGCATGACCTTTGTTTTTGCACTAGACCAAAGGTTCAGGAAATTCACACCTTCTGCTTGAGAGCCTGGGCTTCCTGAGGCATCAGTGCATCTGCTTTGCCAATGACTGGGATGATGTTGACCTTCTCATGCACAGCCCGGAGGAAGGCCACATCTAGGGGCCTGAGCCTGTACCCAGAAACTGGTCAGGACCCAACCCCAGGGCACAGAGACCCTTCAACCCTCCCCAAATGCCCCCCAGGGTGTGTCCCAGACCCCCGGCCGAAGGGTGAGATGAAGTAGAGGCAGCAGTGAACCCGAGAATCCTGTATGTTCTTCCGGTTCAGGCCGCTCTCATCCCTGAGATACTGCTCAAATTGCTCCTCAATGAAGCGCACCACAGGCAGCCAGCTGGAGTGTGGGAGAAGGCACGTGGTCAGAGACATTGGGGCTGGGCCAGAGCCAGGATAGCCAGGACTGAGGATGGCAAATAGGTTCTTTGGCTCCACCTAAAGGTATTAGGGGAAACTGGCAGGGATGTAGGTGAAACATTAAGAAGCATGTACTGACCACAGGGGCACTTTGGGCCAGATAGCCAAAAGAAAGAGCCACTACTTGTTGGGTGATTGTGGATATGGAGCCCTGAACCCCCAGTCTTCAAAGAGTATCCAATTTTAGGGGCTTAGTCCCTGTCCCCTCCCTTCCTTACCAGTCTGAGCAGTCCACTGAGTCCCCAAAACCAGGTGTGTCCACAAGGGTCAGCTTCACTTTAATACCCCCCTCCTCAATCTCTACACCCCGGCGTTCGATGGTCAATGTCTGTGTCAAACGAGCTATGGGGACAGTGAGACAGGATTGTAATTTTCTTTCTCAGAGAAAAGCAGTGAGCTATGTGAGTCACTCAGAAAGCCACAGGAGACCCAGATGGCAAAGAAAAAAGTGCAGCCTGGGGACATAGAAAAGAGTGGAGGACAAAGTCTTGGAAGAATGAACAGGGACTTACCACTGGCTGCTGTCACCTGCCGATCTTCATAGAGGTTGGTAAGGAATAGGCTGTTGATGAGGGTGGATTTTCCCAGGCCTGACTCCCCTGGAGAAAAAACAGGACCAGATGGTAAGGTGAAGAGACAGTTAGCGTTCTTGAAGGGCCTCCTCTCCCCCTCAACTCCCCTCTCCAAATCTTCCAACCTGCCACCATCAATGTGAAGTCAAACCCCTTCTTGACAGACTTGCGATGCAGCTGGTTAGGGAGGGCTGCAAAACCCACATACTCTTTGTCCTGTTGGGGAAAGGGTAGAGAAGGCCATAGGAGGCTGTTGGGAGCAGGAGACACGGCTTCCAATATCACCTGAGCTTGGAGGCTAGGAGAAGTCAGCCTACTGTGAGTTGAGGCCTGGGCCTGAAGACCCTGAGGGTAGGGATTTGGGGGCAGAGATGCCAGGGATCCTGGGCATCAGGACTCACCATGGCCCTGTTAGTTGTCGCAGCACCTGCTGTTGCTCGCCACTTCCTCTGGTAGGGCAGGAAGTTGAGTTCAGCAAACAAGGGGGCGGGCAGTAAAGGAAACTGAAGTGCTAGAACTGGCTCTGGCCCAGAGAGATGGGGAAAGTCTTACCTTCTGGGTCCCTTTACCCTTTAACCTAGAATCAGGTGACTCTTTATTTAAAGCCCCACTGTAGGCCTACCACTCCTGAAGGAAATAAAAGATAGACACAGTAGGAAGCAGGCCGCCCTCTGCTCTCCCTGACAGATGGGGTGTAGTCTTTGACAGTGATGGTGGAAAAAAAAACACCAAAAAACTCCTATGGTCTGAGTGGACCAGAAGCTACAGGCAATTGGATGGGTGGGGAGAGACTAGAGGGACCATCAGTTTTCCAATTCATGCAATGGATTTTTTTTTTTTTCTCTCATGCACTGGATTCTTAAAAGGACTCTAGGTCTACAGATATGTCTTAGACCTAACCAAATACCTCATGGAATTGATTTTCTGAGTTTGAATGTTTAGGACCAGAGTCTCATGAGATAACTCGATCAATTGACATAATTAATAAAGTTTATGCTCTACATCCTAATTTGATGAGTAGTGTCTGGAGTTTTAAAAGCTTACAAGCAGCCATCTAAGATACAACTAACTATCCACTTCTTCACATAAGGAGCAAAAGAGAAAAAAGGAAACCAAAGACTCAGAGAAGAAACTAGTCAACAGGACGAACAGTTTACACAAACCATGACCTCATCTTTCCTGAGACCAGAAGAACTAGATGGTGCCCGGTGACCAGCACTGACTGTTCTGATCAGGGCCACAATAGATGCACCTTGATAAATAGGAGAATAATGTGGAACAGAACCTTAAGTTCTTAAAAAATCGAGACTCACTGGACCAGTTGAGACTGGAAGACTCCCTGAGATTATCATTCTGAGATGCTGCTTAAATCTTGATCTGAAACTACCCTGAGATTACCTTTTAGCTAAATAACAAATTGGCTCATAAAACCAAGGTCCTGTCAAGTTGATTCCAACTCATATTACCCATAAGTCTGTATACCTTTTAAAAATTAGCTCTATGATCAACCTTTACTCGAAATCAAACATGAAAGGGTAAGGGGACAAGGAAGCCAGATTACTGGAAACAAAATATCCAGAAGGAAATTAATAATTTGTGTGTTGTTGTTGTTGTGTGCCATGGAGCTAGTTCTGACTCACAGAGACCCTGTGGTTACCAGTCCAGTGATTATCTTACATCACCACACCAATGTCCATGAGTAATTTGTGTAGTAGTTGCTAAATGGGAACCTAATTTCTATGTAAACTTTCACAGAAAACAATAAAAAATATGTCTTTAAAGAGAGGAGGCAGGGCAAATTCTTGATCTTTGGACTTTGGTTATATCCACCAGTGAGACCTTGCAAAATCCTGGCCAAGGCACTCCCTTGCTCAGAACTCTTCAGGGGTTCCTCTGCTGTTGCTTTTAATTCCCCTGGGTAGATTTCAACTCATAGTGACCCTGTATAGGGTTTGAACTGCTGACCTTGTGGTTCACAGTCCAGTTCTGATCCTACAGCGCCACACCAGGAGGAGCTCCCCAGTGACCACAAAATCAAGTTTGAGTTCTGATCTGGCAACCAAAGCCTTCCCCATCTGGCCTCATCACCCTGTGTTTCACTTCCACAAACATCTTTGGGTCTGTCCACATTGAGCTCTTCCTTCTACACCAGGTGAACTTCTGGTCTCCGACGAGTTTTGATTCAAAAGATTTTCCCTCTTCTATGATAATTTCCCCACCCCATGCAGAGTTATCCTCCCTCCTCTGGGTTCCCCAGCACCTTTCACATTTCCCTCTGGCCTACATTTGTCTACGTGGCTGTTTCCTACATTTCCTCTTCTGCTCCTGATTGAGCTTTCTGAGGGACCACATGCTCCTAATTTCTAAATACTCAGTGTTTTATATGAGGGGCCCTGGTAGCATAGTGGTTATGAGTTGGGCTGCTAACCACGAGGTCAGTAGTTCTAATCCACCATCCATTCCACTGGGGAAAGATGAGGCTTCTTAGTCCCATAAAGATGTACAGCCTCAGAAACCCTATACAGGGTCACTGTGAGTTGGAAACAACTTGACGACATACAACAACAACCAGTATTTCATATAGGGTCTGACACAAAGAATGTGCCAATAAATAATATGCTGGACAAATAAGTGCCTGAAAGGCCAGGAGGCTGAAGGCCATGTGAAAGGAGTCTTGCTTTGGTTGCAGAAAGAACTCCTCAAATCTCAGCTTTACTTACTGTCTGACCTTGAGCAAGTCATTCGACCTGTCTGAATCTGAACTTTCTCATGATAAAAATAAATACGCACATGGAAGCTTTTTTTTGAGTTGATGGCACTGAACAACAACAATCAGTACTCAGAATGGTCAAGTGGTGGTGGGGGTGATGTGCTGTGGAGTCGGTTCCTACTCATAGCGACCCTGCATAGGGTTTTCGAGGCTGTAAATCTTTACGGGAGCAGAAAGCCTCATCTTTCTCCTGCAGAACTGCTGGTAATTTCGAACTGCTGACCATGAGGTTAGCAACCCAACTCATAACCACTACGCTACCAGAACTCCTTGAATGGTCAAGTACATGGACTTATTTATATATAGACATACAAACCCTGGCTTTACTATTTATGGTTTGTTTGACCTTGGGCAAGTAATAACCTCTCTGAGCATTTAAAGCTAGTCTTACCAGGGCCAACAAGCCCCTCCTTAATCTGAACCCTGATGTAGTTATGGCTGGTTGACCTCCTCTAGGGGAGAATTACCATCAACAGCATCAGCCCAAGACTGATGCCTATGAGGTTGAAGTCAGACATGCCCCCTCTCTCCAACATTTTGACCAATTCTGACACCAACTGTCCCTCCCACGGCACTCTACTCTGCTGGGTTTGGTCATTCGCTGTGACAGCCACACCAAATCACAGGCCACATTAATGATTATGGGGTTTATTAGGAACGTTAACAGGTTACAATTCAGAATCAGAAATTACTCAGGAGATAGTTATTGGCTCAGGACAGCCTCTTCTCAGCTGTGCACATACACACACTCTTCTCCGGCCTTTGGCCCCTTGGGCCTCTTGGACCAGACCAGCCTCTGCCCTGTTCAGACAAGTGTTAGTTACAAAGCACTTTAGCTCTGTCAGTAAGTGCCCAAAGGCACTCCACTCTGCCAGCAAGCTTTGGCTCAAAGGCACTCAGCTCTCTTAGCTTTTCTTGGTCCTAATGAGGCCCCTCTTATCCACCTCTGTTGTTGTTAAGTGCTATTGAATCAGTTCTGGCTCATAACGACCCTGTATAGTGTTTCCAAGAAGCAGCTGGTGAGTTTGAACCACTGACCTTGCTGTTCAAACTAACCTTGAGGTCAAGTACTTATCCTATGGCGCCACACTCTGAGATGGCTCATTTTGAACCTAGCAAAATGCTAAAATTGACCAAATTCTTGTTAGGGTTCCACACACCTTATTTGCACCCCCAACTCAATCATTTGGTGGGAGTTACAAGACCAAAGAGAGAGAAGCTGTGTGAAAGCAATCCATTGCATCCACCCAGATACCTTTGCAAGCCCCGTTTCTTTCTTAAATCCTTCTGCTCTGATTATTTCCATTTCCTCCCCCTAGCTCATTCCCTTTCCCTTCTGCACAGTAAGAGCCACCGTCACGTGCTTCTTGTTGTCCATTGATTCCAGCTCATGTGACCACATGTGGCAGAAAACCTTAGGGTTTTCTTGGCTGCGATCTTTACAGAAGCAGATTGCCTTGTCTTTCTCCCATGGAGTCACTGGATGGATTGGAACTGGCAACCTTTCAGTTAGCAGCTAAGCACTTAACCATTTGAGCCACTAGGATTCCTTGTAAAGTGGTTGTTGATAGTGGTGGTTACGTGCCATGGAGTCAGCTTGGACTCATAGCAACTCTGCATAGGGGTTCTGTGGCTGTAAATCTTTACAGGAGCAGAAAAACCTCAGCTTTCTCCCACAGAACGGCTGGTGATTTCAAATCTCTAACCTTGAGGTTGGTGCTCTGGTAGCGCAGTGGTTATGAATTGGGCTGCGAACCACAAGGTCAGCAGTTCGAAACTACCAGCTGTTCCGTGGGAGAAAGATGAGGCTTTTTGCTCCCATAAAGATTTACAGCCTCAGAAACTATGGGTCGCTATGAGTCAGTTCCGACTCCACGGCACATAACCACCACCACCAACCTTGAGATGAGTAGCCTGACTTGTTGCCACTACGCTACCAGCTACCAGTATGCACAGTATGTACTGTGGTTAGTGCATACTTTTTAAAATGATGTTTTCAACAATGTTTACTGTGTTTTGAGGACATATTTTAATGCACATAAACATTATACGTTTACACAAATGGATATAGATTCATGATATATATATATATAGGCTTTCTACTCCCGTAAGGATTTACACCCTCGGAAACCCTGTACAGGGTCACTATGGGTCGGAACCAACTCGACGGCACTTAACAACAACAA